GGTACCAAGTACACGCTTGCAAGAGAGAAAGAACTAACTTTTGACTCTTTACGCTTTTCAAGCGTCGCTTGAAATCTCAGGTGCCATACAGCCAGCGTGCTTTTTGTGCGCAACAAGCAACTGTTGAGTAACATTTAACGCTCGTGTCCTAACGCGCTCGCTTTTATCGCGAGCAAGCGTTCTCTTTGTGCTCCGCTTAACGCGAGTATGTTTACCGCCCCAGGCTATAAATAGAACAGCTCTCTTCGCTTACGCTGCGTGTAGCACGGGTTGTCACAGACGGCGTCGCAAGCTGTACTGTCTCGTTCACATTGCTAGGTCTCTGGTTGTACGCAGGCTGCCACAGACACAGCATGATTCAGAAACAAACGCAGAGTAACTTTCTCTTGTGTAATGTAAAACAAGAGCTGACGCTGAGTGTCTTTAGTTTTGTTTTTTGTTTTTGTTTTTCCTTTGGTAAGTGTTTTACGGCGGTCGCAACTGCATACGGTCATATGAGCGCGCGGGACACATTAAACTTTTTCAGTAGGAAGGAAATTTTGAATTTTGCCCGGGTAGCGGCCGAAGCCTACTCTTATCGATTTTAGACCACCAAGGGATCTTTAACGTGCGCAGCTTGCACACGAGCGCTTCGAGGGTGCCTTTAATAAAAATTATAACTTGATTATTACTACTTGTGCAGATTTAAGATTTCTCTTGGTAAAAGACATGATATTGGTAGTCAGTTTAACATAGATTTTGGAGAGATCTCTCGTGCCGTTTTTAAATTGGTACAGAAATTAACTATTTCAAGGCAAAATTAAGCTCAAGACATTGAGCTTTTAGTACGTCAGTGCAATGATTTGCTGTGTGGGATGGGGAAGAAGTTTTATCGTTTCAAACGTAGACAAAAATGTGAACTTCTTAATTAACCGACACCAGCAAAATCGCCTCCTGGCTCATTAACCTCGTAACCTCGAGCCGGGGAGCCCGACGCGCTTTTCCCTTTCGTCAACCCGCAGCCACCTCCCGAATCGTCAGCCTTCAACCAACCTTTGACACGGGTCAAACTTCCATCTATTTATAAGTAGTTAGATCTACCGGAACATGTATTAGGCGAAGTGATGTGCAATGATAGTCGCAATAGAGAGATTGTTTTGGTCTCTCTTTACTCATCTGCACCACTCGAATTTAATTGATGTTTTTCCCTGGACTCTGCCTTTACTAAAGTCTCGAATCTAGATCTAGTTGTAATCTAGTTGCAGGTTGCAGATTTAATAAATTGCCGACAGAGAGAGAGAGGGAGAGCAGGGGGAGGAGTAGATCTTGCGAGTAAGTTGCGAGAACTTCCGGGCAAAACAAAATGGCGACCCGCGTAGTTCGGCTCGATTCGAAAAGTGAAAGAGCCATAGCATCTTTGTAGACGATCAAATTAGCTTACTTTTGTGCTATAACGTCATTTTTTTTCTTTGCTTTTGTCAATTTGATCATCCACACCGATAGAAAGTATTTCGAAATTAGGAAAAACAGGTCTTGTTTCACACTGGTTGAGAGGTCAATCGTAGGGTTTTTCTCACCCCGGGTGAGGATAACCAGTCCACCTCCTTACTTATATGATTAGGTGATTAAACTTGATCTCTTATTGACAATATAAAAGTCAATTTAAGCTTCATTTCGTTAGAAAAAAATGTGTTAGGTTTGCTAACTTCTTAGACTTTGTGTTAAACAACACTTTTAACAAAACGAATCCTTACAAGCCTAGGCTTGGCCTTTGTAATCTCGAAGGTTTAGAAGTAGAAGTAGAAGAGTCTACTACTAGAGTCTAGAGTCTAGTCCAATTTATTTAATCTCTTGAATGTACATGTACTGGATAACAGAAATCTGCAACCTGCCACTAGATCTAGATTACAACTCTAGATCTAGATCTAGATTCGAGATTTTAGTAAAGGCAGAGTCCAGGGAAAGACTTCAAGAAATTCTCATGGTGATGAGTAAAGAGAGACCATTAAAGAAGCGAGTTTGATTACTGTGTAAGCAGAATTTTAAACAAGAGTATCTCGGTGTTTCTGCTAGGATGTTAAGCCCGGATTAGCTGCGGACCTGACAGGCCGTGTCGAAAAACTGAGGTTGACAACCTCCGTAATAATCTAGCATTGTGCCGATTTGAGACACCCTCCACCAACACTTTTAAAAAGTCATCTGCAATTAAGGTAATTACTGGCTCTAACATTAACATTCGTTTAGTGAATAAATGCGACACTGGTCACAGCTGGTCCGTGTGCGAAGGATGAAACAATAAACTGCGACTGTTTATTTCACCAGCTGTCAGGTGACATGTTCCCAATACAAATTGAAACAAAATTTCGGCTTGCTCGTTCAAAGAAAAGAACAAATGAAACGAAAAGAATAATTAGTTCATAAAACATCATGATCAACCCAAGCCCAACAGGGCGCCCTGTGACTATTAATTGCTCTTAGAGAACATCTGAATAGTTGACCAGAGGGTCCAGGGCCTCTGTATAGCACTTACAGGACACAGTGGACACAGTGGTTAGTGTGTGGTTGGTGAGTGCAGTAGTATTGTTTGCAGCTTCTTCCCTAGCAAATATATTGCCCTTATCTCTCCTCCTTTTTGTGTGTTTGTTACTCTCTTGTTACAACTCTAATCTTCGGCACTTATATGACCTAGTTGTGTTGTAAGTGCCGGAAAACGCTTACTAAACACATATATTGCCCTTATCTCTCTGACTCCCATCTGTAAGGTCGTGGGTTCGAATTTCGTCAGGCAGGGGCCCATCGTTGTGTCCCTGGGAAAGGCATTTTACACGAATTTCCTCATTTCATCCGATAGGAATATTTGCCAAGACGTAGAAAGCCAAACATCGTGTTCTTTTTGAACACTTAACAGCTACTTGTGCTGTATACTAGGAAGGTAATAATACAGGTGTTAAGCGCACAGAGCTTTATAACCCAACCTTTCTTCTCTCTTTCGATCGCTGTCTATCCTTCAAAGATCGCATAGATGGTGTTGTGGAAAGGGCATAGAAATGCTTGAATGCAGTGAAGGTCAGGGCGGCTTCAGGAATGGAACAAAGGCTACAGTTTTTATGTATCAGCACCTGATCTTAGCAGTAATCGATTAAGGGCTTGGAGTACTGACCTTGACAAAAACCCAACTGGACAAGTTAGATCGAGTTCAAAATGAACCTATGCACATCATACTAGGCTGCACCAGGGATACGCAAATTATCTGTAAGAGGCATGTATTGGGCCTCGTGTGGGTGGAAAACAGATACAAAGTGGCCCAGGTCAGGGCGTACATGAGGGTGGCGGCTGATAAGCAGCACTCACTTCATGAAGCCATTGGAGAAATCAATGGAAATCGTCTAAAACGAGGAGCTTCTTGTATGGACGAGGCTGAAAAAAACCCATAAAGGAAGTCTGCCCACTGGAAGATATAAAGCGAGATGAAGAATGGATAAAGATGAATAAGACAGCAGGGAGATTTTGGGAAGGCAGTGACTACGCTGAACAGAGAATGTAGAGAGTGGCCACTGGGGGCGACACATGCTTAGATACGATAATTGATTGAAAACAACTCACGGCATGGAGATGTGGTTGTATACACGGATGGATCTGTTAAACGAGGGAGGAAATCTGGATATGCCTTCTCTGCAAGAGTGAGTGGCAGTTTGGTGCAGGAGCAGCAGGGAGCATACGATATTACAATATCTAGCACGAAAATGGAGATAGAGGCAATCACTCAGGCTCTCAAACGGGTCACAACAACTCGACAAGCACATGTGATCTTTGTCACGGACTCTCAGAGCGCTCTGGGGAAGATTGAAAGTGGGCACCTCAGAGCTGAATGAACAGAGCTCCTGAAGAAGACAACACTGAAAGAGATCACGTAGACCTTCATTCTGGGTCATGCTGGAGTCAAGGATAATGAGCGGGCTGATGAGCTCGCTGAGAAAGCAAAACCTGAAGGGAAGCTGTGCCCTGACAAATCTGAAAGTGTGCGTTCAGTCAGAGAAAAACGAGAAATAGAACAAGAAGAGTCGGAACACCATCATCTTGAGCGACTTTGTGAGCTTGGGGTTGGATGGGGCGCCTGCAGAAGTTCAAGACTTAGTGGGAGGAGCAGAAGGCTATGGAATCAAACATTGCTTGGAACTGTCGGCCTCTACACACTTCGAGATGTGCTTCTTCAGGTGACGTAGCGCTTATGGGGATGCCCCTTGTGCAGTGATGTTGGTCCTTCACACAAGTAACAAGTAACAAGTGTGCTTCCCGGGAAGCTGAGAATGTTTCGGAGTGTTCTATGGTCTGCTGGGATAATAATATAGTGTAAAGCGCATAGAGCCGGCTGTTGAGCGGGGATATGCGCTATACAAATGCTATCTATTATTATTATTTAAGTCTTCTCTCTGTGTATCTGGTCTTGTCTGAAAATCCATAAAAATTCTCGACTTTTGGTTCAAAAGACATGTTTGTGCAAACGGTCAGAAAAGTTGCATCGGTTCCTTGATCAATTACATAATGTCATATTGTCATACATTTCTCACTTTCTCTTCCCCCCCCCCTCTCTCTCTCTCTCTCTCTCTCTCTCTCTCTCTCTCTCTCTCTCTCTCTCTCCCTTTCTCTTTCTCTCTCTCTCTTTCTCTCTCTCTTGCTCTCTCATTTCTTTCTTTCTTTCTTTCTTTTTTCTTTCTCTTCGTCTCTTTCGCTCTTTTTCTTTCACTTTCAGATCTGTCTTCCAGTCTCTCCGTCTCTGAAGCTCTCTCTCTCTCTTTCTCTCTCTCTCTCTCTCTCTCTCTCTCTCTCTCTCTCTCTCTCTCTCTCTCTCTCTCCCTCCCTCTCCCTCTGTCTGTCTGTGTGTATGTGTTTGTATGTGTGTATGTATGTGTGTGTATGTGTATGTGTGTGTGTGTGTGTGTGTGCGTGTGTGTGTGTGTGTGTGCGCGCACGCACTTCTGCGTCTCTCTGTCCCTGTTCCTGTTTCTTTTTCAGCTCCCTCCCTCTCCCCCCCCTCTCTCTCCCCTCTCTCCCTCCTCATTCACAAAATTCACCAATCACCTGTCACCATTGCCTTGTCTCCCCGTCAATGCCCCACTCCATGTCAGATCCCTCCTCTATCTGTCATGGCCCCTGCTTTGACGAAAAACGTTTATATAAGCTGCACACCGGTAGTCAGCATTTACATGTACTTTGTCAATGCATGATGTAAATGGTGTTTCAATAATTATAATTTCTCCCTGCCTCTACTTTTCGCTGAGCACAAGTATTACAAGGTCGGTTTTATCATAATATTTCTATGTGCAAGACCTAGTTTATTTTGTTGTTATTATTATTTCTTTTAATAGGCTTATATATTGTAGTGATTAGGAGCTTCTTTGTCGCACGCATGGGGCCTGAGCTCATTTTCCGAGTGTGGAGATGATTTTATCGAGTATCTCTGTCTTTCTGTTGGAATGTTGTAAGCCTCTGTGTATTGGCCCTGACAGATGGTGTCGGAAACCCGCCTCCTAAATGCTCTAAATTGTGTCGATGGGGGGAGTGAAAACATCAGTCTTCTTTTGCTGATCTCAGGAAGCATAACAATTTTTTTGAAAATCAAGTTATTTCGTTTTCAGGAAACTTTTATTAGAATTTGTTTCTTTATCTGTCCATTTAACAGAAGTTTTTTTTTTCCTTGATTTTTTTGTCAAACAAATTTCTGCAAGCTTTCCTAGACTTTACTCTCATACAGAACTACTGACGATATCAGAGTTTTCAAACTTCTTCTGTTGCGTTCCCTTGACACATCCCCGTGTTATTTAGTTGTACCATCTTCTGTTTTGCCTTTGCTTATTGTGCATTTTACAAGTTGATTGCAAGCTCTATCGACTGCTCTCATTGAGCCCGAAAAATTCACGTCTGTTACAATTTGTCAAAGTGTTCATTAATTGCCATCTGCTTGCGGCGGTGGCTTCCTGGCCCTGTAATGTGCACAGAGTTGGCCTTTTTGGAGTTACATTTCATGATCTGCATCACACTACTCACTGTGAGCAGCATCAACCTCATGTAAAATTCTCTCTCATGCCTGTGATGTTGTCAGCTGCAAGGGCTGTATCCTGTGTCGATCGAATGTTCTTACGCTCCCATCGACCCAAGCTAGATCATTTAGGAGATGGGCTTCCGACCACATGCGATTAAATGTCTTCCGACCCTGCCTGTCGGGTCAACCCGGGCTGGGATATAAGATAAGATAACATGAGATAAGATAAGATAAGATAAGATAAGATAAGATAAGATAAGATAAGGTAAGATAAGATAAGATAAAATAAGATAAGATAGGATACATCTATATTGTCCAGATCCTGACACATTGTTTCGGTGTTTCACCACACTCACACGCATATTATACACACAAACACATACACTCATATTATACACACAAACACACACAAACATGCACACACACGCATACGCACTCTCATGCGCACTCCCACTCTCTCTCTCTCTCTCTCTCTCTCTCTCTCTCTCTCTCTCTCTCTCTCTCTCTCTCTCTCTCTCTGTCTCTGTCTCTGTCTCTCTGTCTCTCTCTCTCTCTCTGTCTCTGTCTCTGTCTCTCTCTCTCTCTCTCTCTCTCTCTCTCTCTCTCTCTCTCTCTCTCTCACACACACACACACACACACACACACACACACACACACACACACACACATACACACACACACACACACACACACACACACACACATTCTCTAACTGTGAAATTAATCATAATAATTCAATAGCATGCTTGCACTCTTAAACAGACTCAAGTCACACACAAATATAAACGAACAGTAATTGCAAACATTAACAGTGTTAAGCTAGATACGTACTCAGTATTCCGATTGTAACTGTAAACTCTGTGCGTAAAATGATGAGAATACTCATATCAAGATGATTAAGATATTTGAAGTTTAATGGAAGATGATAAGAATGATCCATTAAATTTCTAACATGTTAATTATCTCGATATAAGAGTAAAGACCGAGATACTTCGAATATAATTTTTCTCCCCACTTGGGAATCGAACTCAGGTCTCCTGCGTGCGACAGCAAAGCGCTTAACTGCAACATCAAAAGCTTGATTCTCTAATCACCTATTCTGTATCTAGGTTGAAAAGATAGGGTAATAGTATACTGTCTTGTCTAATTCAGGTTTATGGCTCCTTTTTTATTCTCAAAGAGTATCCCACGAGACCTATTTGTAGCATTGTTTCGAATAGATGATGATGAATGACACTTACCCTTGCTGTTACACAACAACCTCCAGCTTACGAAAAGAACAGAGGCGTTCATATAATGTGTACTCCAAATGGTCTAAAATTCTTTTGATGTAGAATACGTAAGGGTTGGAATGAATGGATACGCCTATTTTATTTTACTCACAAACCTAAATCTATAGGATTAAATTTATTTTTTTAAACTAAAAATTAATGATAACAATAATAGATAGCATTTGTACTGCGCATATCATCGCTTGACAGCAAGTTCTATGTGTTTCACACAATAACACTCAAAAAAATTCTGTCACGACGCAGGGAAATCAGGCACTCGTCAATCTTTCGCATACAGACTTATTGGTATCATTTTAAAGTTAGTTAATTTATCTCGTTTTTTTTTATATTTTAAAAGAATACTTATCTGTCTTTGATATAAGGCGAGATTTGTGGTTGGAGGAGGTGTGGGTCGCTTGACGTCAGAAGTAAAATTAGCGAGAAAATGGCCGCCAAAGTTTGATTCATTCCAATGCTTGAGTGTAGCTCTACTTGAAAACTGTAAATTTACATGTTTGTGTTTTTCATCAGCGTTTTTCAGTAAAATTCACACGTGACAGCGTTGAGCCACCAAAAATCGATATAAATTGTCCAATGGGCGACAAGATGTCAGGGTTTTTTAAATTTCGTGCTGTTTCTTTGTGCTCTTAAAAAGTAAACCTTCAGAAGCCATGAAAAACCTCTGGTACCAGTTGATAGTGCCCAAGGCCAACAAGTGACCTTCGCAGCTCATGGAACTGCGCCTGAACTACACTCTGTAGAATATTGTACAGGTCTGGCAGCTTCTGTCTCTTCTGTCTCACGGAACTGCGTCTCAACTACACTCGTTGTCTTAACATGTTTTAACGTGTCTTATCGTGGAAAAGAGTGACCAAAAACAAAGTGCAAGTCAGACAAGAGCTTTCCAAGAGTACGTCCCTTGACGAGTCGGCATTGTTCACATTGGTTTCGATGTTAAGGATTGCAAGAAAAACCTTTGCCTACTTGTAAAGTTTGCCGTGTTCCCGAGGTCCACTCCAACTTGTGAGCAGGTCTTTTCTCCACACTCTATTGAATGCTTTTTGGGGGTTTACAAAGATGGCGACATTGTGTTTTGCCCCCTGAAAACAATCTTGGATGTTTTGAGTTAGATTAAAATGTTGGTCTTCAGTCTTGCTGTCTTTTATGAAGCCTGCTTGGTGTGGGTTCAAGTTGTTGGTGTTCTCCAGGTACCAGTAGGGTTTTTTGTTTACCATTCTTTCAGCAGGCTTACCGCTGCATGATGTAAGTGAAATAAGTCAGTAGCTCTTTGTTTCTCCAGGCGGTTTGACATTTTGCAGGAGTGGCATTATCTGGTCAATTCGCCATGCGTTTGGTATTCCACTTATTCTCCACGTTATATTTACGAGGTGACGTTGAACTTCTTTTCCTTTATGGTCAAAGTTGTTTTGCATTTCATAATGTATTTTGTCTGGTCCTGGGGCTATCTTTAAAAAAAAACTTTTTGCGAAACTCAAAAGTACCATCATGCTGAATTCTTCCTCAAACAGTGAGTTATTTACAGTAGGGGCTTTTCTGTGTGCATTGCCTTGATTATGAGAGATCCATCGACCTCAGTTAGCCTGCTTGCTTTGTTTACTGAGCTGGAGTACTTGTTTAAATGTTCTGTTCCCTTCTGATCTTCTGTGACGGTGTTGCCTGTAAAGAAGATAGCTTTGGGGGTTACCTTTTTGTCTTTCTGCGGAGAGATTGCAGACAAGAGACCAAGCCTTTGATCCAGTGTGGCGGAGGTCAAGATCTTCACAAGTAAAGTAGAGTAAAGTTGTTCCCGCATCCGATCCGGACATCCCCAATTCTTTGTTTCTCCTCTTTGTATTATTTTAGCATATATATTTTTTTAAAATCTGTGAGCAGGTCTTGTTGCAAAAAGGTTTTGTTACTAGCTACGGTGAATATTCGTATAACTGCCTAGCTTTTTCTCATTCTATCACAGCCGTCTGGATTTCTTCGCCCCAGAAAGGTTTGTCATTCCTTTGGCAATCCTGTGAAGTGTGCAGAGACGCGGCTTTAAGACAGTTTGTATGGCTACTTGTTCATTCAAAGAGATCAGCTTCTTTTGATTCTTCTATGCTAGAGAGCAGCTTGTAAGCGGTCTTTTCATGTTCTGCCCAGTTGGCTTTCTTAAAGTTGCATCTAGTCCTCTGAGGGCGGTTCAATGCAGGTGAAGTGGTGATCTGTGTATTGATAAGCCAGTTATCACTTCCTATGTCGCCAATCGCTTCAATGAGACAGGAGTTGTTTTTTTTTAATGTTGGATGGTTATAACAGGCCGGCGTAGAGTCAAATGGGCTCTGTAAAGTAAGATAGGAGTGGAGTCGGCATCCTGCTGCACAGAAAGGTTAATGGTTTCATATTGCAAGCTCACCGATCTTTTGTCCTGTGCCGTTGTCGTTTGTGGAGCCCCAGTCAGAAGTAGCTATTGAAGTCACCTGTGTAAACGGTTTTGTTTTTTTAACTTTCCCTTTTTTGTAGAGGGCTGCTTTCAGTTACCTGCTGTTTATGGGAGATGTAAACATTGTAATACTTCGATGGTTGCCGCATTCTTTACTGCTTCCTACTTTGTGGAGCGTTAAAACTTCTTGTGTTTTGCCATTCATTTGGCTGATCATAAATGGTCCATATTACAATGGAATGCTTTTATACCTGACACTTCTCAATCTAAAATAAAAAACTGTGCTGGTTTTCCTTGCTTTAACTCCATTAATAATTTGTTAAAAATTAATAATTTCACTTATATTGCGCACATCTACGCTCTACAGCATACTCTTTGCGCGTTACATTACTATATACCCCAGCAGACCCTAGAACACAGAAATTTTCTCGGCTTCCCAGAAAGCAGCAACTATTTCTTTCTCGAGGATCTGGTTTTGACGGCCAAAGCAAGGAATATCCGTCCACTTTTGCTGTTGTGTGGCATCAAACAGCTCCCCTACAGTGTTCATG